ATCGTTTCTTTCCCATATGTAAGGGTAGTCACCATATGTTCGTAAGAAGGAGGTAATGAACACGGTAAAATCATCGCCTTGTCTTCATCTTCAATCTTGACTTCAAGTGAATCTAAATCTGTGACAACCTGATTGAAGATATTCACATGTTGCCCTAAATCGGTCCCCTCCTGCATCTTCAGCCCGTATAACCTCTCCTTCAGATACAGTTTTGTCGTTAGGGTTTTCGACATAAACTGCGATTCCAGTTTCTTCCAGATCTCATCCGCCGACATGAGATGCATAACGTGATACATAACTTCATCTGCAAGGCACAGCCGAATCGTCCCGGCTGCCCGTTCCTGCAGATCTTGTCAATCATCGTCTTCCATCCCTTTAGGCTTCTCTGCGCGCAGCCCTTTTTGAATTCCTTGCTGCGCCAATAAATTTTTTACTCTCGTCTGCCATAATCCGAAATTGCCATGACCATTAAATTTCGAGACCTCGAATTTCGATCATCCCGTCATCTCCGTCGCCCAATCAACCAGGCTCTAGTACCACTTGTTGAGAGAAGATGACAATATGACATACGAATTTAAAACGAAAAGTAATCAACACAAGATTTACGTGGTTTGGCAATATGCCTCCATTTCGCTCGCTTCGCTCGGTCGCTCCGCTTCCCTCGCTACGCTCGCTCCACTACACTCGCAGGCATCAGCCTGCCTCCTTCCTTTGTCAATATATGAGTCATACCGACATTTAAGAAATTGATTAATCTATTTTACTGAATTCAATCGGGAAAAAATATTTATCACCACGTACGATACACGTGCACTTTACTAGTAATCTAAAATCGAGTCGCATAAATGTCTGATTAATTTAGACCCAATAGTGAAATCATCCTATATTCAGTTATATTTGTTATAATTGATTATCCTAAATAAAAAATGTAATCGAATATTATAGTTTTTTTTCTAAATCATTTATTGACAACAAAGTCGTGTGCTTAGTGAAAATATAAGAGTGTTGTTTATTGAAATAAAAAAAAAATGTATTTTCAATTCTAAAAGTACTGATTATTTTATTTTTGCCCAGCGGTTATATTCCAAAACCTTGAGAGTCGGGCAAAAGCGCAAACTCTCTCGGTGAAATCCTAATGATCACATTACTTCTCCTAAACCTCAAAGAACTAATAGAAGCCCCATTGCTTGTGGGCACGAGGCTCGCTTCTAGGAAAGGGGCTTCTGCACGCGTGTACAAGGCGACTCTCAAGGACGGCCGCTCTGAGTATAGCTGCTTCCCGCCGGAGATGGCTGCGAAGTCCGCCGACTTTTCTTATTCTGACACTCTCCAGATGGAGAAGCACATGATGGCCGGGGTTGCTCCCGTGTCCCAAGCTGATCTAGTGCTTTGGCGACGAGTTGACTCAAGGAGAAGACGACAAGATGGGGTACAATCTGCTGCTAGAGTACGCCGACGGCGGGACCCTAGGCGACCAGATGAACAAATTCAGTTGTGACGGGCTGCCGGAGCACTAGGTGAAGATGCACACGCGGTCCCTCCTCAAAGGACTGAATCACACCCACATGTCCAGATACGTCCACTGTGATCTTATGCCCGGCAATATTCGACTCGTGCTCGACCAAGAAAAAGTTTAACCGGTCAAACCGAGTTTATAGCAAAGATCGGAGATTTCGGCCTGGCAAAAAAGGCAAAACGGTCCAACTGGAAGAAGAGGAAATTATAGGAGGCTAATTCTTGCTGGCGGGGAACCCCTATGTATCCGTCTCCTGAAGCCGTGATGGGCAGCGAGCAAGAGGCGGTGACCGATATTTGGGCGCTCGGATGTGTCGTTGATGAAGACGAGATCGCGATGGCGTTTCTGCAAAAATACGATCGAATGCCTTCTTTATTCTAGTTATTTATTTCCTAGCTTTTATTATTATTCCTTGTTTTTATTTATTTTAGTTAATTTTTATTTAAGTATTATTCTCTTGTTTAGGAAACCTAGGTTGTTGGGACTATTTAATCCCTTCTGCTTTCTTATGAACGTATTAATCATTGAATAAAAATTACAGACTTTGAGATTTCATCTCTTTATTTCCTTGTGTTCGAAGCTGCGCTACATCAGTTGGTAATCATAATCAGCTACGATCCACGATGCCACTGAAGAGAACCGATCCGGCCGATGACAGAAGGGAT